GTTGCATGTAATCATTTATATAATAATAGATTAGTACACAATTGTATGTCAACACATTTTTTATTTCTTTAAACTGTCTGGAATTTATTATTAAAGGGTTGCTTAAAATTTACTATCGTGGAAATTCAGCTTTTTCGCCTTTTGGCTAATCTCATTCCTGTTAATTAAAATTAACACTGTAACTGCAAAATCAATGAACAAATTTAAGTACACAGATGATAAGTTCTTTTAATTCAAATAATTGAAAACTTAAAAATTATGAATATAAAAAAATACCTGTTGGTATAGGATACATCAGGAAACATGCTACAGCACCTAATATCAAAAACATTGATAAAGGTGTTCTTCTGCCAAATGATTTGATTATGAATATGGAGATGAAATTGGCTGGAAATTCAATAGCGCCAGAAGCAGCGAAGTTTAAAAATGGATCTCCTTCCTGCTCATTTGTATTGTAAGAGAGACCATAATACATGAAAGCTATGACACACCTGTAACAAATTTCATCAAATTTTAAATATTAAAATAAATTTGAAAATGTGAAAATAAACAATATGACTATGTCGTGGGCAGGCAATAAGCTAGTCACGAGAAAAGTGAGTGAAAATATCTCTTACAAATTATATTTATAAATTTTATATTTAACATAATTTTTCGTTAAACATGAAAATAATTTTTTAAGACTTTTTTTAAAAATAAACTTGTGCGCGATGAAAATTTCATCAATCACACAGTCCCTAGCCAAATTTGTTAGACGCACTATAAGTTTCTATGTGAAATCTTAATTATCAGATGATATTATACAGCTTTATTGTTTTTAAGCGACAGATACCGGTTTGCACTTCTTTACGTTTTTGTATCAATTGGTTAAATTAGAAAATGTATAATATAAATTCGACGATTGGCCATTTAATCATTTTTTTAAATGTAAAAGTCACAAATGAAAGATTTTGCAATACAAAATGATATTTTAATAATTGAACCTCCTATCGGAAGAAAATCCCAAATATAAATAACATTTAGAAATCATTGACTTTTAGTTTTAAGCATATATGATGGTTTGCTTTAAATATTGAACATCAATTTCTTCTGTCAAGTTTTCAAATAAAGGGGTTTTCATTGAGAAATTTTTTTCTAAACAGCTTCATGGTGCTTCTATATATAACAAAGCTGATTTTTTGCAATTTCTCCGCTCTATCATTTAAAATTCTTTTTCACAAATATTTTAAATTGATTTATAAAATATCATCTTACCAAAGATAAAACAGGTTTATCGTTTTCCCTCTCAATCCAGGTGTTTTTATTAAATCCAACAAATTTCCTCTTTGATTTTCTTTTTCATCATTTCCCTGGAATGAATTTAAGTGCAACTTTTAAACCTCAATTGTTAATTCTCAATAATTCATCAGTTTTGTTTACATAAGGTTTAAAATATCTGTCTATGACACTACCATTATGTATCCATAACGTTCAGTACCACAGAGGACTGATCGTAAGGACACGTTTCCCAGTGGAACGCCGAAGTCAAGTATCAATGGCTGTGGTCAGTAAGCGGTTGAGTGACCACTTTGAAGGCAGTTAGGGTACGTTGTGTTGGTCCTCGTTAAACTGTTCTACTTTAAACCGTCCGATTTTTTGCGAATGTTGTCGGGCTACTAAAGCGGGGTTTGCCATCCCCATCTGCAGAGGATCAAAATTATGGTGGTATATCTTTGGCTCATCTCAAGAGATGTTTCCAAACCGTCACCAATCGCCCATTGTGCAGCTATAGTGCGACATAGATAAAGTACTACTACTACCATAATTTTTATGGCAAAAATTATAATTCTTTGTGATTTATTAAAAAAAAAAGTCAAGATATTTAAGTTTTGCCCCATAAAAAAATTTTTTTACTTATTTGAAAAGTCTTACGAAATATTGTGTAGTAAATCGATTGTGTAGTTGCAAAGTTAAAATAACGTAATAAGTAAAGCAATTCCGCTATAGACGTTTGTCGATCCTGCTCAATCTCAAAGTAATCGCCGCAGTGATCTGCTTTTGGTGCCTTATTTCCAGTATTAATAATATTTGAATCTTATTATTTTTTAAAATTAAAATCGTATTATTGGGTTTAGGTTCAGAATTGGTAATTCGATTCACTAAAGTCATTTATGGATTCGAACAATAATTCAAACATAGTAAAGCAGTTATATGAGGAGACTACTAATATAGGGAAACTACCAAAACTTATTAACAGCTATAACATGCATAATTTTCAAGTGAAATTTTACTTGCGTCATTTTTTTAGAAAGTAAAATTATATAGTTTAGAGCCTAAATACACACAGTTCATCCCTATTTATTTTATATTTTGAGTAAAAATTAGCGTATAAAGTATGAATGTACGCCCCAATGAATGTATGTCCCAAGACCAAACGTGTGTGACAAATTAATGCATAACCTGTAATAGTAATTGATTCGGCAAATATATTATGCATTATAAATCACTTGACTACTTACCTTATCAGTTATAATTTCTTTTATCTTAGTTTCTAATTCCACTTTCTCCATTCCATTCATTTTTCCAGCTTTAATTAAAATAACTTTAGCCTCCTCATACTTTCCCTTTGCAATCAACCATCTCGGAGATTCAGGAAAGAACCTTAATAATTAAATTTAAAACATATTTGAAAGATAGCTCCAAATTTTTAATTTATTCCTAAAAATATTTTTAAATTTCTTAAGTTAATCTTTATAATCATATCGCGAAACTTTAAACTAGTTGAAGTTGAACTAAAAATGTTAGAAAGAAACAATGATATAAATGAGTTGCTATCTTCTGAATGTTACTGCTCATTTCGACTCTTTGTTTCAACATCAAATTATCTCTTTATAAGATTTTGTTTTCTCCCCATGTTATTCTAAATATCAGGGCTATGAATTTGGCGACAACGAGTCAAACTTGAAGAAAATTTGGCAGTTGCTAGAGTTGTAAATTTGCTTGACTCTGGCTAGTTGAGGGATAGGTTCTAAGTTTTTGATCTTATAAAAATAAATAGAAATTTTACTCAAGTAAATATTATCGCAATTATTTAAATTATCATTAACTAAAATAATCACATTTAAATCTATGTTTAGCTGAACTGTTAAAAAAAAAACAATTGAAACTTTTGGAAAAAATCTATATTAATGGATAATTAATAAATTATCGTTTATTTTATAAATTCCACATCCAAATTTATTTAACTAAGTTTCTGAGATAATTTAAAAGATATGGGAATGAATTTAATAAAGTATTTGCTATAGTTTCTTAGTTTATGAATATGCACTAAACTATTCTTTTGTCATAAGATGTCTGCGACCTAGGATTTGGTGAAAATTTTAATTGAGAATAAATCGGGGTGAGAGTCGGCACCCTCAGGAAAGTCTCGGAGTCGAATATTTCCTCCGTTAACTCCACATCTCTAGTAAATACTGAAAATATCGATAAAAAATGGTCAATAAAGGAATATAGCGATTCCTGAATATTGTTACAATGTTGTGAACTCTGGATTTTGGGCTTGAAAATTGAACGGAAATCAAACGAGACTAGAATGCATCCTCGATTTCCTTGCCACTGACGTTTAAGTTTACAAGTTAAAGCATTCTTACATACCAATAAGTACCCAATAGAAAAGCGGTCGGAATTGTTATGAATATCTGAATCCAGAACCAGTCTCGTAGCAGCCAGGCAATCAAAGGAAGACTCACAAATCCAAGACACCAGCCAAAGTTTATGCTCAAACCGTACAATGGTCTATGAGCGGGAGAAACAACTTCCATTACTGTAATAAAAAATTATACAATTAAATAATACAAGTATTTCTCTACATGACTGTTAAAGCTTCAAATCGGAAAATTATCAACACAGCAAAATTGAGGGCTGAATATTTTGGGCTATAATATCAAAATGTCAAAAGGAATTTTTTTCTAAAAATATTAAATTAAAAAATTTTTTTTTAAATCTTTTAAAGCAGAATTTTTATTAAACATATTTTTCATACTTTTCGCATTATTTTATATTTATGTCAAAATAAGTGAAACAGGGGACGTAGCGTTTGTAAAAAGTGCTTAAAGGTGCTTATTTTTGATATACGTTTTTTAAAAGCCCTTAAAAGTGCTTTTTTTATTCGGGGTTTGTAAAAAGTGCTTCATTTTCTATCTTTTAGAAAGATATTTTTTCTTTGCCGTATCGATTGTTGTTCTAAATTACAAGAAAAAGCATGATTTTCGCAAATTTCTCTGCAATATTTTTCAGAAAATAGTTATTTTATCATGATTATATAACATTTTTGAAAATGTTTCTACATTTTATTGATTTAATGTATTGTTGTTGTTAATTTACGTCGCACTAGAGCTGCACAATGGGCTATTGGCGACGTGATTTAATGTATATAAATTAAGAACTTTAAGCGATAGAAGAAAAATAATTTTTATTCTGCACAGTTCTTAATTATAATTTTTTTTTTTTTTGGAAAGTGATTAAAAATATTTTTTTAGTGCTAAAAAAATACTTAAAAGGCGCTTTTTTTTGTTAAAAAATTTGGTTACGCACCCTGTGAAAGTAATATCTTCCAAACAACACTTTTTCAAATTCGCACTTATTTGCAGTTGTTTATGTCTAAGAGGAATAGTTATTAATCATTGAAATTTCTTCACTTTACGAAATCAATTATTGATAAATTTTTGAACATGAATGAAAAAAAAAGTTTTTTTTCAAAATTCTTTTTTTTATTTTATATATTAAAACAAATATAATTCCGATTATCTAGCAGATTTTTTTCAGTAACTATTAGATTGTATTTTTTTTATAATAAAAAAATATCAAAATACATTTTTACTTATAATTAAAGCCTGGGACAGACAAAAATATGTTGAAGGGTCACCGGTGTTTCGTCTGCGTCAAAAGGTTAAAAAATTTACTGGAAAAATGCCTGTAATCAATGGATTTTATTTTTAAAAAAATATTTAGTTGTTTGGGGAAAAAATTATCGGCCATGGCAACCGTTTTACTAAAAGAAGGCAAACCTGAGGGGGAAAAAAGGAACAGGAATAATACAAATAAACGCTTCCTAATTTGTGTAAACTGAAAAAGTTATCTTTTTTTTTTTTTTTTTTTTTTTTTTTTAAAAAAAAAAAANTTTTTTTTTTTTTTTTTTTTGAAAAGAAAAAAAACTTAGAAATTTACGCAAAGCTACTCTTCAAATTTTTGAAATAATTTGAATGTTTTGTGATTTTATTATGTATTTCATGATACTCATTTGTACAGATTTATAATTCTAAAGTACGTAATTTTACAATGTGAGGTTTAAAACTGAACTGAAAACGTTTACTAACGTAGCACGAAAACTGTGTTAAAAACTCCGGAAGTCCCAACTGCAATTAATAATCGTAATGCAGCAAACATCAGGAATGACGTAGAAAATGCACATATCACGGATGAGAAAAATGCGATGACACCACATACAACAATCACTGGCTTTCTGCCATATCTGTCAAAAAGAATACATTTTAAGTTAACATTTAAACTCATATTACACTTAAGCATATTAGACATAAAACTTATGTTTAAATAAGATTGTAAATAATGGTAAAGTGATAAAAAAAACGGACCAACCTAAATAACTTTTGATCCAATGATCGGATCTTCACGTTCTAGGACTCAATCTCAAGGGCTCGAGGAGGTGACCTTAAATATGTTAATTAATAAGTGCAGGCGATATTTAAGTCACGAAATCAGACACAAAAACGTATTTTTTCTGAATATACATAACTTTTTTTCAATGGATTGAGATTTCCGATCCTCAAAATATAAGAGATAGCAGCAATCTGGATCCCTATAGTTCGGTTAGGTGAGTGCTCAGTTAGGAGAATGTTTGGACCTCTTAATGTTAATTTTTACGTATTTCACTATATCGTGAGAACTTTTTAAGCAAATTAAAAAAAAATTGCGCGCAATTATAAAAATTCCACAATCTGGGAAATATGGTCCCCATAGTTTGATTAGTATAGGGAAATCCTAAGTTTGGATCCCTTAATGCTAATTTTATTTTTTACGAATTTTTCCATATTTCAAGATTTTTTTAAAGTAAATTGAAAAATTTCTGCACACAATTGTTAAATTTGTTTATCTACAGGTAATTCCATACAAAAAAATTAATGTTAGTAAATATTTATTATTTTATTTAACAATGGTCGTAAAATTCTTGAATTGTAAGGTGTAGAATTTTTTGCATCGTTTTAAAGAACATAATTTCACATGGTAAAATTTGAGTAAAATCGGTTGAATAATTCCTGAGAAATCGAATTTTAAATATCTGACTTTTTTGAAATTTAATTTCTCAGGAACTACTTAACCGTTTGCTCAAATTTTATATTTTATCATGCAGAATTATATTATTTTAAATAATGCAAGAAATTGTATACCTTATAATTCAAAATTTTTCCGACCATTCTTAAATAAAGTAATAATAAATAATAAATATTTACTAAAAATTATTTTTTGCATGGAATTATCTCTGGATTAACGAATTTCCTAATTAAGTGAAAAAAAATTTCATTTCGCTTAAAAGGTTCTCAAGATATAGCGAAATACGCAAAAAGCAAAATTAACATAAAGGGGTCAAAACTTTGGAGCGCTCTCCTGACCGAACTATAGGGACCATATCTCCCAGATTGTGGCTACCCCCTATAATTTGGGAGTCAGAAATCCGAATCCCTCGAAAAAAATTTGTTTATTCAGAGAAAGACGTTTTTGTAGCTTAAAATATCGCCTGCGCTTCTTAATTAGTATATTTGAGGTCACCCCCTCGTGCCATTACGATTGAGTCCTAGAATGTGAAAATCCGATCATTAGATCAAAAGTTATTCAGGGTAATCTTTTTTTTTGGCGCACTATACATATAATTACAGGATTTAGTGCTCAAATACGTCTATAAGACCCAAAAACGTCTTATAAACCGACATATAATAATTTATTATTTTCGCTAGAATCCGTATAAAAATGCATTAAATTATTTCCCTTGAGTATTTGCTTTTTGCTTATGATGTCAGTGTCAACGACATTAATAATCATACTTATCTGCTAAGCCACCAGTTATTGTAACAGAACACAGATAGCCTATCATGAAGATTGACTTCGACAGGGAAACCAACCACGCTTGGTCGCAAACTAAATCCCACTGAAAGAAAAAAGATTCATAGGAAAAAATATAAGATTTCGAACAATCCGAATGCATTGAATAATTATTATAAAAATGCATAGACAATATGCGTTTGTAACTAGGTGTTGGTAACGATGGTCTTAAAAAATGGCACTGATAACTGTTTTAAATGAAGTGTTCAGATAAGTTTTTCAGTGACTTGAGCTGATCCAGTTTAACCTTGATTGAAACGATTGGAGGCGATTTTCACAACTCTAATTTACAAAAGAACCGAGTGTCTTATAGAGAAGTTTGTAGTGCACATTGAGATACATTAAAACTAGATTGTTTCGTAAACATTATTAATTCGTTCATAAAAAAAATTGTTTGAAAATATTGTTACATATGAAAAGTTTCTGTCCTTTCCTCATAGACAAAAACCCTTCTTTGTTAAAGTTATTATTCCATTGAATTCCCTTCACATAGTTTTTCAATAATTATCGAAGGTGTTTCGTATTCCTCGTCATTCAGAATCCATTTTAAAGATTAAGTTAAAACCGTACAATGTGAAAAAACTTATTACCCTGAATAAGATTTGAACTAATTATTGATTTTCATGAACACGTTGTCAATCTTCATGATCCAAAAGGGTAACCTTAAATGAACTAATAATGCATTTTAAAAGCAAAATATAAAATTTGAATAAAATAGGTCGAATAGTTATTAAGAAATAAAAATTAAAATATTTTTTTTTATTTTTTAAATTTTGTTTCTCAAAAACTATTTGACCGATTTCTTAGAAATCTTGCATTTTGTCATTTAAGATTACGTAGTTTAAAATTTATGTGCCTTACAATTCAAAGCTAATTTCGACCATTATTAAATGAAATGATAAAAAGTAATAAACAACTATAAAAAAATATTTTACTTAAAATTATCATTCGTAATTGTTTTACAAAAAGTTATAGATTCGCTTAAAAATATAGATAAAATAATTTGTCTGTTAGAGTTTAATAAAATATTATCAAACTTTAAGAATTGACCTGAAAATTATTGCCTGTGCGAGTTTAATAGCACAGTCAAGTTTTAAGTTTTTTTTTTACTGAACTTTCAGCTATAAATTCGTGATAATTAATGAGTAGGAGTACAAAATTTCATTTGGATTGAATTTTTATAAATTAAACATTGACTAATAGTGATGATTACGAACAACTCAGTGGGACACAAAAGATGGACAATTTTTAGTTTAAAGTAATAGTCTTTTTCTCATTACCTTATTAACAGGAAAAAAATACACCGTGAGCAACCCACCTTATTAACAATGGACGAAGAATAAACAGAGTGGTCATATTCCCAAGATTCACATGAAACTATTGTATGAGAAGTAATGTTTCTTCGTCCTGTTGTAAAGTTAGCATAAGTAATTGTTGAGTTTAAAGTGTGTACAAATTTGTACCTGGAAGAAAATAAAAATCACATTAATTTTCTGTCAGATCAAATAATTTTTACTTTATATTTTGAATAACTAAGCTTAATTAAAGAAAAATACAAAAAGTAAGATTGAAATTATTTTATTTTGACTGACACCCCTTCCAAAAATGACAAAAGAATGGAGTTTTTCTGGATTGTGTTAAAAAGAATGTTCCAAAAGCAACATTCTTTTCGATGAAAACACTAACTTAATATCCCCCCCACTCCAATCTTTCAAGAGATACTTTCTCCAGAAAAGGAATGGTCGTGGAAAAGGGCCATCAACGAGAGCCGATTTGAATCAGCAATGAGCAAGCTTTTTGTGATTGAAAAGATTAGGTACCTGCATTTTTTCTCCACTGATTCAAGACTGCTCTTGTCAGTGTTTCAGGACATTTTCATTTTGCACATTTTTAGCTCTCTGAACAGTCCACCCAACCTATGATGTTTTCACTTATTTTCAAGGATTCCTTTATTCTACCTGGACAAACACATAAAGAGCTGAGTGGATGGTGGTTAAGAAGTATTTTAAATGAATGTGAATAAATTTGTTTCCCCTGATTTGCTGCACAATGGGTTATTGGTGACAGTCTGGGAAACATCCCTGAGGATGATTCGAAAGCATGCCATCACAATTTTGTTGGGGGACTCCCTCCCCTCCTCTGAAGCGAACGAAGTTTTTTGATCAAATAAAATCTTACTGCTTCAGTTTCTTGGGATCATTTATTTAATAGTAAGTCTTTAGTTTATTTTTTAGTTTTAATCACTCCGTATTTCAGTTTTGAAATTAATTTTAAAATTAATTCAATTTACATAAAATTATTAAAGATTGCCGATAACACTGGGACATCAACAAGATTCTTACCTGGAACACTTTGTGTCTTCTTTAGGAAGAGCAATTACTTTCCATTCATCTATTGTGATATTTACATCAGGTGGTCTAGAACACCAATGATCCACATTTGGAGCAATAAAAGTCATTGCCAAATTGTGATAAGTAAACGGTATNAAAAAATTAGAATTTGCTGGTTTCAGAGGAATTATTTTAAATTGGTTTATTTCATATCTTTCAAACAGAGAACATAGAATTAAAATCCGAAGCAATTTTAGTAATTATATTTTTTCAAACCGTGGTGTTCCTCAAGGATCTATTCTAGGACCCTTATTGTTTATTATATTCATCAATGACTTTTGTCAACTCAAACTTTCTGGTAAGATAATAACATATGCTGATGATTCCGTAATTTTGTATTCTTGCACTGATTTAAATCAATTAATTTTTCAAATTGAATCTGATTTACGCGTAATTTCAAAATGGTTTACAATAAATGACTTAAATTTAAATCTAAATAAAACTAAATATATTTATTTCAGTTTAAGAAAATCAGAATTTAACTTAAATTTAAAATTTTACTCTCTCTCCTACAAAAGAACTAATGAAAATTGTCAATGTATTCTACAATCTGTAAATAATATCAAATATTTAGGACTATATATCGATACTAATTTGAAATGGAAAACACATATTAACAATTTAGTTAAAAAATTGCGTTTTGTTCTTTAAGAATAAAATTCATTTTAATTTTGTGAAAGCACTCTATTACTCCTGGTTTTATTCTTTAATTAATTATGGTGCAATAATATATGGCGGTGAATATAAAACTAATTTACTTCCTTTAATCTCAGTTCAGAATAAATGCTTCAAGATTATTAATTCTCTAAATATAAATAATTCAAGTATAACTACTACCAATATATATATACAAGAATTAACCTATTACCATTTCGCCATAATGTATTTTTTCGTATTTTACTCTATTTACACAACAATAAATTAATATGCAAATTAAAAACTAATGGGTCTGAAAGGAGACCAACTGAAATATATGAGATTCCCCACTTTACAAAAGAAATTTCACGAAAACAGTTTTTTTTATTTAGCATCTAAATTATATAATAAATTACCATTTCAGTTGCAAAACATCCAAATATATTCTTCTTTTAAGCGTGCTTTATTTCAATTTGTGATGAACATTGACGATTTAGATCTCTATTTCTCACTTTAAAGGAAGCATTTGATTTTTTATACCAGTCTTATGCCAATCCAAATGAATTTCTTATGTTGCCTTTTATGTTATTTTTTTATATAGTTTCATGCATTTTTTTTGTTTTTTTATTATTACAGTGTTCAACAATATATGACGTCTTATGATGAGCAAAATAATTTATAATTGTAATACCCCCCTTTTTTTTCCTTTCTTTTTAATTTCTATTTTAAATTTATTGTATTACTTTTCTTTGTCGCCTGGACAGGATTTTCCTCTTGACGACGAATAATATATTCTTTGTATTTATGTGTTTTTGTTCCCAATAAAGTTATATTTGTTTGTCAAAGTTAATATATCCCCCCCCCCCAATTTTCCAAGAGACGCTTTTTCCAGAAAAGGAATGGTCGTGAAAAAGCGAGGATGGCACATATTAGAAGATTTGCCAACTGACTATAATGTGGAAAAGGGCCATCAACAAGAGCCGATTTGAATCAGCAATGAGCAAGCTTTTTGTGATTGTGTGATTGAAAAGATAAGGTACCTGCACTTTATCCCACTGATTCAAGACTGCTCTGGTCAGTGTTTCGGGACATTTTCATTTTACACATTCTTAGCTCTCTAAACAGTTTACCCAACCTATGATGTTTTCACTTATTTTCAAGGATTCCTTTATTCTACCTATACAAACACATGAAGAGCTGAGTGGATGGAGGCTAAGAAGTATTTTAAATGAATGTGAATAAATTAGTTTCCCATGAGTTGCTGCACAATAAGTTATTGGTGGCAGTCTGGGAAACATCCCTGAGGATGATTCGAAAGCAGGCCATCACAATTTTGTTGAAGGACTCCCCCTCCCCTCCTCTGAGGAGAATGAAGTTTTTTGATCAAATAAAATCTTACTGCTTCAGTTTCTTGGGATCATTTATTTACTAGTAAGTCTTTAGTTTATTTTTTAGTTTTAATCACTCCGTATTTCAGTTTTGAAATTAATTTTAAAATTAATTCAATTTACATAAAATTATTAAAGATTGCCGATAACACTGGGACATCAACAAGATTCTTACCTGGAACACTTTGTGTCTTCTTTAGGAAGAGCAGTTAATTTCCATTCATCTATTGTGATATTTACATCAGGTGGTCTAGAACACCAATGATCCACATTTGGAGCAATAAAAGTCATTGCCAAATTGTGATAAGTAAACGGTATGAAACAAATGAAGCTCGCAAGAAATATTAGCCTTTGCCATGGTCCATTGCCCAAAAATAAATCTAAGCTATTGCCTCTAGCTTCATTTTTCGAAACAGTTGAGTTTTCCATATTCGAAACCATGGTGAAATTCCTATTGATGAATCTAAAATGTATAAGTATAGAATAAAAATGGCATTTGATTATAAAAATATTATAAATAAGAAAGTAAAATAAAGGGTGCTCCGTAATCTTAATATATATACATCTGGAATTCTTATCAAAACGGTATACAAATTAACACTGGAAGCTCCATTGGCGTCATTTTGATCGTTTTTTGCCATTTCATATCTTATTTTTAAAAATACAAGTGAGCTTCTAAGCTCAATTTTTTTTACTTTTCCTAATTGTTTTTTAAGTATGATGTATCAAAACTTCATGCTTTTCCATAATTAGTAAAATAACTAATTATGGAAATGCCTAAAGCAGCCAAAAGGGGTCATTTTGATCCGCATAAGAAAAACGTTCATCTTTGAAGTTTTATGTCTATTTTTCCTTTTACATTACTGTGTGATAGATTGAAGCATTGTGAAGATGGATTGTGGAACATAAATTAGGATTCACCATGTTAAGAAAGATATCACGTGCAACAGTCTTTGAAAAATTCTATTTCATCCAAGATTGGATTATTGAATCAACTTAGTTTAATTCCTTTTGAATTATACTTTCGTTATTGTCTGAAAGAAACCGTGTACATATTGATTATAAATAAATAACAGTTATATTTGTTATAATACAGGACAAGAAAGTATTGTTGAGAAGCATTTATTGTTATGTATATAATAATGAAAATTTATTGCATAACGTTCAAGCCACCTAACTGATTTCAACTGATATAAAAACCAAAAAAAAATTTTTTTTAATTACTATTTTTATTTGAACAAATTGAAAAACTGGAAATGAATTACAACCTGGAAAAGTATAGCGCTCTAATTAGGAAACCACACCTAAACTAATGTAGCCGGACTACTGTCTTTCGCTTTAATAAAACTTGCAGATGAATTTTCTCGTAGAAGCCTACATTACCGGGATATTACGTTTAAACAATAAAAAGTTTGCTCCCAATTACAATGTCACTTCCTCGACATGACATCCATCTTTTGCGCTGCAAATAGTATTCTTGCAAATGTGCTTGTAGACGATAGCATAAAGTAGAATCCAAGCACTGACATTTAATACAATAGAATAAATATGACGTAGGCTTAACAGATTAAAAGCTTAGGAATTCTACAAGATATGAAATTTACAGGTTTTTTGCATTTCTTTACAACGTTTGTGATATTTCTGTCCTCAATGCTCGAATTGTTTACAAGAAATCATTTGTCAACCCAATTACTCATTGCGAATTCATTCTTGCGTTTGTTGAAGAACGACAAATTATTACTTAAAATATCAGAAACATGCCTTTTAATATCGCAAGGCACAGAGCAAAAATAATTCTACCTATGAGAAATGTTAGAAAACGATTTGATGTTTTGTTGTCATTTTCAAGTCATGCGGCTATTCTGTATACGCATATGCTAATGCCTAACTAATGATGGAACTTAACATTTTAAAACATGTTGTTTGCTAATGTGTATTATTTATATTCATGTCATTTCTTTATTTTCGTATTACTTGCGTTCTTGCGAAAGAATAATCTGTAACATGATATTACATTATATTATAATATTGTCACTGCGTTAATAATAATAATAAATAATAATCTTTAAAAACTCTTATAAATTGTATTTTTAACAATATTCATCATTTAAGAGATCTAATATGAATTTCTTATGAGGTTCAAATTGACCCCAAATGGCGGTTTTGGATCAGTCCAAAATCCGACTGTTCTAGTGTTAAGGGTGGTAATTAATTATTTAAGCTAAGGAAAAAAAAGACTATTAGTGAAATATAATAAATCTCTACAAAGGAAAGCAGAACCGATAAAAATAAAAACAAATTTTCATTGATTGAGGAAAGGCAAAAATAGGAAATCCAACTCTATACCTACCAACTCCTGCAGATTTTATTTTGACATTAAACTAGTAGACACTTTTATTCTTTCAAACCAGATTCCTGCTTTAATAAAAAGGATTTAAAATGATTTTGACTCCCATTACNTGTAGAGCATAAATTAGGGTCCAACGTGTTAAAAAAAATTTCCCGTGTAACAATTTCCGTAAAATTATTTGGTATCTGAAATTCAATTACCGAAGTAGCTTAGTTGAGTTTCTTTTGAATTATAATTTCGTTATTGCATCTGCAAGAAACTATGTGCATGCTGATTATAAATAAACAGCTATGTTTGCTGTAATACTGGGTAAGAAAGTATTGTTGAAAAACCTTTTAATTGTTATGTAAATTATGCTGAAAATTTATTGCATTACGTTCAAGCCGCAGAACTAATTTCAACTGATTTAAAAACCAAAAAAAATTTTTTTTTGATGACTATTTTTATTTGTGCAAATTGAAAAAGAGCAAATGAATTACAACCTAGAAAAAGTATTGGGCTCTAATTAGGAAACCACACACTGAACTCCAGATGTAGCAGGACTACTGCCTTTTGCCCCAGTAAAACTTGCAGATGAATTTTTTCGTGAAAACATACATTACAAGGACACTACGTTTGAACAAAAGAAAATTTCCTCCTAATTTCAGTGTCGACGCGACATGATATCCATCTTTTGTGCTGCAAAACTAAAACTATATACTTACTATGTAGGTGCAGATGAAAAAGAATACTCTGATTCTGAATAGTATCCATACAAATGTGCTTACAGACGATCGCACAAAGTAGATGCCAAGCACTGTCACTTAATACAATAGAACAAATATGACGTAGGCTTAACAGATTAAATGCTAAGGAATTCTGCGAGAAGTGAAATTTGCAGTTTTTTTGCGTTTCTTTTCAATGTTTGTGATATTTCTGTCCTAAATGTTTGAATTGTTTACAAAGAATCATTTGTCAACCTACTCATTGCGAATTTATTCTTGCGTTTGTTGAAGAATTACAAATTATTACTTAAAATATCAGAAATATACCTTTTAATATCGCAAGGCACAGAATAAATAGAATACTAGCTATGAGAAATGTTAGAAAACGATTTGATGTTTTGTTGCCATTTTCAAGTCATGCGGATATACTGTATACGCATATGCTAATGCCTAACTAATGATGGAACTTAACATTTTAAAACATGTTGTTTGCTAATGTGTATTATTTATATTCATGTCATTTCTTTATTTTCGTATTACTTGCGTTCTTGCGAAAGAATAATCTGTAACATGATATTACATTATATTATAATATTGTCACTGCGTTAATAATAATAATAAATAATAATCTTTAAAAACTCTTATAAATTGTATTTTTAACAATATTCATCATTTAAGAGATCTAATATGAATTTCTTATGAGGTTCAAATTGACCCCAAATGGCGGTTTTGGATCAGTCCAAAATCCGACTGTTCTAGTGTTAAGGGTGGTAATTAATTATTTAAGCTAAGGAAAAAAAAGACTATTAGTGAAATATAATAAATCTCTACAAAGGAAAGCAGAACCGATAAAAATAAAAACAAATTTTCATTGATTGAGGAAAGGCAAAAATAGGAAATCCAACTCTATACCTACCAACTCCTGCAGATTTTATTTTGACATTAAACTAGTAGACACTTTTATTCTTTCAAACCAGATTCCTGCTTTAATAAAAAGGATTTAAAATGATTTTGACTCCCATTACGTTTAAATAATTAAAACATACATTATAGATTCACAAATCCACAATGAGATCCAAGCATCGACTTCATGGTAGTAGCATTTAGGCCTGTCCGATTAAACAGTAATGGCGGTCATTTGCGTTTGAACCCGTTTCGCTTCACAAGCAGGAGTTTTGCGAAACTAAACTCTTCTGCCGGCCGATAGGTTACTTCGGGTTTAATTAGTAGAGAAGACTGGTGATGCCAATTATCTCAACGAAATTAGTAATCTTTCAAACAGCGAGATGCTTTTTTTTCAAGCTAAAGTACAGAGGACTTCATTTTTTGTTGATCACTCTCCACTCATTTTCAGTCACTTTCCAGTTTGTTCCTTCACCTACAATTTCATCTTCTCAGCAGGATGGCAAAGTGCCATTTTCTTTCCTTACTTCATGACTCTTCCCCTCAGTGTATCCAGTCTTCACGTATCTTTCCATCACTTCATGATGAATGGGAAAAAGGGCCTATTTTGGCCCCAGATGCCCAGTTCTCAAACAACGAACGAACAATGAGATCCACAATAAGTAACAGTCTGCTTATTTCTAGATAAAAGCTTTTTTGAGGAGCTTAAAAGTTGGTAGGTAGGCAATTTTTTCATAAAAAAAAGGAAACTGGTTTAAATTTTTTTTAAATTCAGATTCTTCAATACTGATTTGATCTCCTTGAATTTGTGATTATTACATATTTTTTTGCAATCATATTTAAAGATTTTTACACAATACACCAGGGTTGGATTTTATTCACGTCCTATATGAAAAAAGAGAGGGTTAGATTTAAAACAATATATTATAACAATTAATAAACTTTTTTATGCAATAATAAATTTGCGAGGTTAACTTACTTAGTAACCAACTGTTAGAAGCAACTTGGAGGGGCATCCATCCTGATGCAACAGGTGCAGGCAAAAACTATTTTTTTAGTATTGATTTATTTACAAAATGATTGTTTTTAACATAGAATTTCGCAATAGAGACGTCGATAAATTTCCGAAGTATTCATTGCGCAATTCAATAGCCTTTTTTGCAAGAATTTTAAATGAACAATGAATTTTTATTGACATTCCAATAGTTGTTTATCATACAGTTTTTAAGTAACAGTTCAATTAAGCTCTACGGACGATAGTTTTATCAGGTTATTACACTAATAATAATATTTATTTGTTTTGGTAATTATTATATTTCGTTTACAATTTTTTATTTACCTATAAAAGCGCAACTGTCAATTAAATTCATTTTTTTTATTAACAGTTGCAAAAATTTGGAAAGCACTATTCACTAGTTTAAGCTTCTGGATCCGGTTTACTTAAATTCCGAACTATGAGGAAACAACCAAATTAAAAACCTGGTAGTAAGTTTTTGATTAAAAAAG